ATGAGTGTGATATTGTGTAGAGAAAAGCATAAATTTTTTGGATTCTAAGTGACCTAAATTTAACCCCAGCACTAGAAATCTCTGGTTTGTGATGCCTAGCAATTTTATTAAACTCTCTGAGTTTACATTTCCATGTTGCTGAGACAAAGATAACATGCTTATTTACAGGGTTGATATGACAGGATGGGATATATTAAAAAGAATTTTAATGTATTCTATTACAGCATGTGCATGTGTGTCTGTGCGCTAATCACTAAGTCATATCTGACTCTTTGCAACTCCACGGACTGTAGCCCACCAGGTTCCTCTGTCCATGGGAGTTTGCAGGCAAGGATACTGGAGTGGGTTTCCATTTGCTCCTCCAGAGATCTGCCCAACCCAGGGATCAAACTTGGGTCTCCTGCTTTCTAGCTGGATTCTTTGCTACTGAGCCACCTGGGAAGCCCTATTATAACAAATGTATTACTATGTCATGAATATCATGTTATAATAACCTTCCAACCTTCCCAATAGCCAGGAGTGGTTCATCAACAAATATTGACTAATTACTACATGCCAGGCATTGTTCTAGGCTCTTAGAAAGAGAAATGAAAAAAAAAAAGGCTCTGTGCTCCTAAAGCTTACATTTGAGTGGAGAAATCCAGGCATTGAACAAATAAACCATTAAACCTTAAGATTAAGTAGTTGCTATACACAAATTCAGGATGGAAGAAATAGAAAACTGCTGAAAGAAGGGACTTCTCTATCATAGGATCTTTTTGTCTTTTTGCAAATAGTCAGCTTGTCATTGTTCAGGCAGTCATTTAAGCCGAAGATATAAGCCCTTGTCCAAAGTTTGATCAAGTTAATTGAGGTTACTGGTTATGAAAAGTCTAGAGAGCCACTACAGCATAGAGCTGGTGATTCAGGCTTCAAGAATCATACAGTTTTAGGTCACATGAAAGATTAAATTATTTCTTATTATAGTACAATTATTAATAGTTAAATAATATACAAACTGTTTTAACTCCATCAATAGGTGATGGATTAAAAATTATAGATTTCCCATTGTAATACTATTTTTCTGTGAATAAATTAAGTTAAACTGGAATAAACTCCAAGATAAAATTTTATTTGAAATAAAGCCATTTCAAATAAAGGACATGATATAAACATTACAAAAATTATAAAATATAATTATATATTTTCATAGAACATTACACATATATACATATAAAATATGTAAATAGTAAATTCCTAGAAAAATACACAAGGAATTAATTATAATTGTTTCCTTGGTGCAAAAAAGTGGGAAAGCACAGAGGTGAATCCTGAGAAGGAAATATTTTGCTTATATATTATTTTGTACTTAATTTTATCCTGTACATTTATTAAAATTTTAATAAAAAATACTTGGAATAATACTCTAGATTTATCTCATCCCTCCACTATTAATTCCTAGTCTTATGATCTAGAGAAAGATACTAAAATTACTCAATGTTCCAATACCTGTTGTGAAGAGGAAATAAATTTAAGTACGGAAAACCTGATAAACCTAGATGAATGTCATGTTAGGCAGGTTTCATCAAGATACTACCTGATCTGAGACTTGAAAGTTTCCGTTAGGTGAGGAAGGAGCGTTCCAGTTGACTATATGATGAGCCAACATCATTATCATTCCACAATACTATTTCTATAATCATTGATTTAGAACCTTTATACTAATTCTTTTGCTTTGAATATTTTTCCTTTTTATTTTTACTTGGTTAACTCCTGCACAATTTTCTTATATCACTCTAAATATTACTTCCTCAGTGAAGTCTTCTCTGAATCATGCTTATAAATTAGGACTCCCTCCTTTTATTCTTTCTCCAGAGCAATATACCTTTTCCTTCATAGCAATGATATCAATTTGTAATTATAATTATTTGTGCAGTTCTTTCTTTAATACTTTTCCTCTCCACTGGACTGTAATGTCCCTGAGGCAAGGACTCTGTTTTGCTCATCCTCGTAAATTCAGTACTTATTCGTGAGTGTAAGGCAGGAATGGGAAGTGCTCAGAAGCAATGAGAACACTGAAGAGACTCATGATAATAATTTAGAAACGAGGGCCTGGCTAGTGTCATATAATGGTGTATAATGGCATTGGCAATGAAACGGTGAATTGAGTCAAGGTTTGAGCAAGAAGACTTTTGCCAAGGAAGAATGAGCAGGATTAGGAGACTGGTTGAACACTTCTGTGATAGCCTTTATTGAAGGGTGGAATTACAACATGGTGCAGAACTCTGCATGGCAACTTTTCATTCTGTAAATGTGTGTTTGTCTGTCTCACAACCAGGGGCTCTGAGAGGGCAGCACCTGGTTTACTGTTACACCAAGATTCAGTCTGTAAATACCCACTGATTAGATGAAAGGAAATGTCAACAAATGATGAGGTCAAAAAGAGGGATAATTAAAAAGAAAAAGGTTTTTAAGATTTGGCAATTCTCTGGGAGGATGGTGCTAGATATATGCTTTGACACCCAAGCAGAGATGTCTTGGATTTAGCTGGAAACCTGGAATTCACATTTCAGTGAGAGGTCAGAGCTAGGGAAACTATTTAGGATTTATACATTTAATCATTGATTTATTAACCAAATATCCATTGTATTCCAGGCATTGGACTAGGGCTCAGTAATATAAGCATGAATGATGAACTGTCCCTACTGTGTCCTTTATGCATGTGAAAAATACAATTGTGATATCTTTAATGTTTAACAGTGCTAACTTATTAGCTTAGTGCTAACTGAGCTTACCATGAAATTAAAAGACGCTTACTCCTTGGAAGGAAAGCTATAACCAACCTAGACAGCATATTAAAAAGCAGAGACATTACTTTGCCAACAAAGGTCTGTCTAGTAAAGGCTATGGTTTCTCCAGTGGTCATGTATGGATGTGAGAGTTGGACTGTAAGGAAAGCTGAGCACCAAAGAATTGATGCTTTTGAACTGTGGTGTTGGAGAAGACTCTTCAGGGTCCCTTGGACTGCAAGGAGATCCAACCAGTCCATCGTAAAGGAAAACAGACGTTGAAGCTGAAACTCCAATACTTTGGCCACCTGATGCGAACAGCTGACTCATTTGAAAAGACCCTGATGCTGGGAAAGATTGAGGGCAGGCGGAGAAAGGGACGACAGAGGATGAGATGGTTAGATGGCATCACCAACTCGATGGACATGGGTTTGGGTAGACTCCGGGAGTTGGTGATGGACAGGGAGGCCTGGCGTGCTGTGGTTCATGGGGTTGCAAAGAGTTGGACACGACTGAGTGACTGAACTGAACTGAACTGAGCTTAACACATGCTGGATGCCATGTGTGTTCAAAGGAGAGTGAACTTGGATTTGCTTAGAGGAATCTGAGAGAGATTGATAGAAAACACTGGAATTTACTCTTAAATGATATGTAGATGCTAACTTGGTATGAGAAGTATAGTATGGTGTCTTTTAATATCATTTTGGACTAGTTTATTTTAGTGTTGCTCAATTGTTTTATGTTCTTACTGATTTTCTTTCTACTTGTCCTACTCATTAATGAGAAATGATATAGAAATCACCCACTGCATATGGATTTATCTATTTTTCATTTCACCTTTACCATTTTTTCTCTATATTTTGAAGCACTAATCAGGTGATTACACATTTAGGCTGATTACAGTTACTTGATGAATTGTCCTCTTTGCCATTAAAAGTTATGCCTGTTTATCCCTGGAAATACTAATGAACACAATGCATGAATCACAGGAATAGATCAATAATTACAGGAAAAATAAACCAACAAAATTTCAGGGACTTTGACGCACTATTCTACTGTTGGAATTTTATCTCAATATGGTGGCTGAAGAAGACTTTTAAAAAAAACTTAAAATATTAAAATGTTCACTACATTACTGTTTATACTGGAATACAAGAAACAATGAATTATGGAGTATATAAAGCAGATAATGCTTTATAGCCCTTAAATATTATTGTTACAAATAATTGTCACAGTGTAAAAGTAAATGTTTATGATTGGTATTAGGAGCTTTACATTCATTACCCAGCTTAATCCTTACACCAACTCTATGTGGAAGTTAATCACAATTACCCATTTTTAGATAAGAAAACTGCTTTATGTACCCTAATAACTTGTTGGGTGCCTAATCTGTTAACATCAGTTATGACATAAAGTGACAAAAATAATTATAAAAATGTGCATGCAGTATGTCTATAATTGTCAGAGATTATTAGAAGTAAGTTCATTAAGGTATTCAGATGAGGTAGTTGCTAAGAACCAAAACCTGTATATGAATCTGCAATATGCTTTGGCTGTCATAAACACATTGTGAACATCTAGTCTTAAAAAACCTATAGGATAGTGATGATTATTATTTGCATAATTTTACAGATGAGTAAAAAGGCATGAAGAGTTATTGACTTTCCTCTGTTCACCCAACTAATAAATGGCAGAGTGGAATATGAACACAGGCAAGGCTACTTTATGCTGTATAATATTTCATTATTTCAGGAGTTCATAGTTTTTCTTTCATAATTTCAAATGTTGATGAAATGGTAAACTTCTGAATGCAGTAATTGTGTTTTATGGTCTTGTGTACTTTCAGAGCAACATACACAAAGTTTGAAAATTAAAAGGCACTAAAGTAAGCAAAGCATAACAGAGTTGTCAATAAGACATATAGGAACAGCTAAGATCCATTGCAAGCCTTGAAAGCAACACGATGCCGGAAATTAAGTTTGTGAAAATTTGGAATTACTTCAACAAAGCTTAAAAACCTCAATATAGAACAAGAGTGAAAATTGGAAACTCTGACCATTCTATCTCAGAAAAATAGCCTGAAAGGAGGAGACTAAGAATATTGGAGTTATGAAAGGATAGTCGTGGGGATTAGTGATCCACTTTTCTCTACCATGCTAAATACTAACAAATTTAAAGCCAAAACTGTCTCAGGTATGTGAAATGAAATGAATAAATGGGACAAATAATGCATGGGGGATTTATGGCCTTTATTTCTACTGATGGTGTCAGTCTTGCAGAACACAAAGTAAAATATCAAGAAGACTCTTATGTCCCCAAGTTCACATTATAAGAAATTTCACACTGTCCCCAGTGTATGTCACATTGGTGAATATTAGCACAGTAAATACTTAGAATATATTGGTCATAGAAATTTCAAAATAGCATTTGTACCAGTAAGATAAAAGTTAAGTCCATATTGGGCAAACAGAGGAAAATGGCACACAATAATGATAGGTGCACTATACCTCTGTGCACCTTCCCTCCAATGGTCTTTTCAACAGCCATTTCAGCAGCTGGGTTTAATCCCCAAAAGATGAAAACAGAGGCAGAGAGGAAACCCAAACATGGAACTGATTGTTCCTCACTTAACAAACTTCAGTTCCACCTCAAAATGTCTACAGAAAGCAGTTTCTGACACCTAAAGCCTTGTGGAAGGCCCGACCAAGGGCATTCTTCACCTCATTATTTCTCAGGCTGTAGATGATGGGGTTCAGCATGGGAGTCACAATAGTGTAGGACAGTGATAGCACTTTTTTGCTCTCAGGAGAATTATTGGACTTTGGACGGAAGTAGGTGAGGCTTGAAGATACATAGAAGAGGGAGACAACAAGGAGGTGGGATGAGCAGGTAGAGAAGGCTTTACGCTTCCCCTTTGCTGATGGAATCTTCAGGATGGCAGCAGCGATGCGAGTGTAGGAACATAGGATCAGCAAACAGGGTATCATGACAACCAGAATGGTTCCAATGATGGCATAGATCTCAAACAGGGCTGTGTCTGCACACACCAGCCTCAGCACAGGCGGGCTGTCACAGAAGAAGTGGTTCACCTTGTTGATGCCACAGAATGGAAAGCTGAAGAGCCACGTGGTCTGCACAGTAGCCATGGGAATGCCTGGAAACCAGGAGACAGCTGCCAGTTTGGCACGTGTCCTTGGATTCATGATGACTGGGTAGTGCAAGGGACTGCAGATGGCTACATAGCGGTCATAGGCCATGGTGGCCAGGAGGAAGCATTCAGAAACCCCAAAGAAGAAGAAGAAATACATCTGAGTGGCACAGCCAAGAAAGGAGATGGTTGTGTCCTGGGCAACCAGGGTCCCCAGCATCTTGGGCACAATGACCAGGTTGAAGCCAATCTCTAAGAAGGACAAGTTCCTGAGGAAGAAGTACATGGGGCTGTGCAGCATGGGGTCAGCCCAGGTAACCAGAATGATGAGGCTGTTTCCCAGCAGAGTGACCAGGTAGATGAACAGAAATGTCAGGAAGAGTAATGACTGTATTTCAGTAGGTAAGGAAGAGAAACTCATGAGGATAAACTCACTCACTCTTGTCCAGTTTCCTTCAACCATTGATAAAACACCCCAGCTGTGGTCATGGAGAGAGATTCTTTATTGGAAGAGTCAGATTCTGGATTTGTATCACACTCTTTCTTAACGTCTCAAAGAAGCACAGTCAGGATCTCAGTTGTAACAGAAAGTGCCTTGTGTTACCTAAGAATCAACACAAGAAGAAAAGAATGGAGTCTGAGTTCTGAAATGGGCAGTGTCTCATCCTTCCCCACTCTATTCTTTATGATCCATTTTCTACTTTGTTACCATATTTACTAAAACAACTTGGGTCATATCTATATACATTCATTTTCTGCTGCACATTTAATACCTTTGTAGTGGAGTTAAGTGAGACAGGTCCTGAGGCAATGGAGTGGAGTCAGATGGCAAAACAGTAGAAATTTTCCATTTGTGCCTATTATATATCCCCACTTCTTTAAAGATTCATGGTGTTTATATTCTCCATCTACTGCCAAAGTAGAATTTACCTTTATGCATGCATTTAAGGACTGCAAACAATGAGAGTATTTGAGAGGGTATAGATTAGAAAAAGTCAATTGTTTTATCATGTTTTGTTTTGACGTAACTCAAAGTAGTAGAAAATGTGGTAATGAGATGCAAAGGATGGATATCCACAGACTGTGGTAGTTTTAATGCACTTTCTCTCCCCTTTCAATATAAGAACTGTAGAGTACTTCTAGTCATATAGTGCTTATTCCTTCCTGCCTAATCAGATTATGAGGCAACAACCTTAGGATCTTTCTCCTCATTCCAGCAAAGCTATAATTGACAACTGATTGTCAGAATTCAGAATATCCACTGACTTTCAACATTTAAGATATGAGAGGAGTATTGTAGTACACCTAAGTAGATAAACAGTGTGTTCCAGGAGAGTCCAACTATGTCTCTTTCAAGAGTGGACAAATTGGAAAAAAGAAGCAGATCCTCAGAAAAATTCTGTGAAATATATGAGGAAGATTAGAGGGAATGTTCAAAAAATAATATTCATAAATAATTAACCTGGACTATATTAAATAAGAGAATCTTAAACCATACGAAAAAATTCAATATCTATTCCACTTGTATTGAGGTACTGGTGATGTGAAGCTTTCTTCCTCCATGAAGCTTAGAATCTAATGGAGGATATATTTAAATAATCAATTATATTAAAATCACAGTGAAGGTCTTGACACAGTAAATATACAGTATCTTGGTGGGGGTAATGTATAAGGAGAAGGGATACCTAGTAAAGTCTTTGATGGTTTTCTAAGAAATAAGGATGAAAATGAAGTTGGTTGAAGGTGTGCAGAACACCTAGGGTGCACTTTATTGTGACAATATTATAAAAATAAAGAATTAGGAAAAAGTAAAAATCACTGAGCTAATTTTTTTAACTGAAAGCATTCCTTAATACACACAGACACAGGTGTGTATTAAGACACACAAATGGAAATATACCAATATGCCTTGATCTTTGTCATTTATTTTTAAGAAAAATCTTAGAATAGGGAAACTATCTTTTAAGCAATCAGACAGGTAATAAGTAAAAACAAAAAAGCAAGACCACATATCACAGTCAAAAGACCTTTCAGGCTCCTGTCAGTCCCTCCAGAACTTCCAGAAAAACCTTCTCCCAATCATTCACTGACTGTCCTAGGAAGAGGAACCCACTCTTCTAGCCTTTCTGCACCCACAGAATTGATCTAAGGAAATAGTGTACTTGATGTGATCTATCTTGTTCCACTGAGGCAAGTCTTCCCTGAGTTAATTAGAGGACAGTCAAGACTTCAGGAGATATATGTTCTGTCAAAGCTACAGTGAGTGGAAGTTTTCTGACCCAGAACGATTTACAGGACAGAATTGGAGAAAAGAAAAACAAAACCCTGGGTGATCTCAATCTGCTTGTTGTCTTAGATGTCACTTATGACAAAGAAAGGGGAAACTGTGGCTCAGGAAGGGGGAAAACTGATAAGATTGTTCCAGTGTGGACAGAGGAATGGAATTAGGTGTTCCGCCAAACCTTGCCTAGCTGAGCACTTGAACCTTGAGATGGGCCTGGGTTGATTTGGCCCTTGATGAGATCCTTACCTGTGCCCTGTAGGGAGATCTGCCTTGTTCAGCTCTACCTGATACCTATGCTTCATGCAGGGCCCCGAGTGTTTGACAAACTCTGACTCTGCTGTCAGAAGAACCAGAAAAATTACCAGGGAGCCTTACTCACTTTCCTGGATGAGTCATTAATGATTGGATCTGAAGCCAGATCACAGCAGCCTTCTCTGTGTCAGGTGTGAGTGAGAAGACTGGATGAGTTGGCCCTGCACTCAGTCATGACAGGAGATCTGTCCCCAGCTGTGCCTCTTTGGTCCTCAGGGCCACATAAAGGGCTGGCACCTGTATTTTCCCCCAGGTGTTTCTGGGCTCAACTTTGCTCCTCTTGCCCTTCCTCAAGAGTACCTGAGCTTTCTTGTCTTCACTGTCCTTTGGGACCCTAAGGAATGTCAGATGCCAACAGGATGAAGTTCAAGAAAGGAAAACCATACTCAAGGAGTGTGATATTGTGTAGAGAGAAGCACAAACATTTTGGATTCTGAGTGACCTAAGTTTAATTCCCTGATGGCTCAGACGACAAAGCATCTGCCCGCAATGCGGGAGACCCAGGTTCAATCCCTGAGTCGGGAAGATCCCCTGGAGAAGGAAATGGCAACCCACTCCAGTACTCTTGCCTAGAAAATTCCATGGATGGAGGAGCCTGGTGGGCTACAGTCCATGGGGTCGCAAAGAGTGGGACACGACTGAGGGACTTTACTTAAGTTTAATCCCAGCACTGGAGACAGAGACATAAAAAACAAACTTTTGGACTCAGTGGGAGAGGAGAGGGTAGGATGATTTGAGAGCCTCTCTCTGTCTCCTTTGCTGCCCTGCATGTGTATGCCTATAGCTGATAGTCTTTCATGTAAGACAGAAACCATCACGATATTGTAATTATCCTCTGATTAAAGTAAATGAAAAAAAATCCCAGTACTGGAACTCTCTGGTTGCTGATGCCTAGCAATTTTATTAAACTCTTTGAGTTTCCATTTCCATATTGCTTAGACAAATATGCTTATTTTACAGGATTGGTATGAGCAGGATGGGATATATTAACAAGGATGTTAGTATATTCTATTATAGCATATATGGGGCTTCCCTGGTGGCTCAGATGGTAAAGAATCTGCCTGCAATGCAGGGGACCTGGGTTCAACCCGTGGCTTGGGAAGATCAGGCAAAGACGGGAATGGCTACACACTCCAGTATCCTTGCTTGGAGAATTCCAAAGACAGAGGAGCCTGGCGAGTTACAGTCCATGGGTTCACAAAGAGTCAGACACAACTGAGAGACTAACATACACACACAGAATATATATTACTGTATCATGGATATCATAATAACCTTCCCAATCATCAGTAATTGTTCATTAATAAACATTGAATGGTTACTATATGCTATGCATTGTTATAGACCCTCAAAGAGAAAAATAAACAAAACAAAGTCCCTGTGCTCGTAAAGCTTACATTTGATTAAGGGAAGCTAGGCATTGAACAAATAAACAATTAAGCTTTTAAGACTAAGTAGTTGCTATGCACAAACTTCACTGGTTCCTGGCTTTGGCTCTGAAGCCTCTTCATATCTATTTTTTATAGATTAATCAGGCAAGAAAACCTCACTGGAAAAGATAGTGGGTCCTTATGTGACTTTTAAAAATTTGGCCATAGAGATATGTAACCTATAATATTCAACCATCCTGTCCATGTTTGTGTTGAACACTGGGGCTTGTGAAAAGAGCTTATGAATGCGTGGAATGAATGAATCTGAACTCCTAGCAAAGGGATTGAACAATAATACTGGAAAAGAAAAATTGAAGAAGAAAGGAAATGAAGGCCAGATGGAGCCTTTAGAAGCAAATCTGGGAAGAGAAAAAGGGGGCAGAGGAAAGCTAAATTATCTTTGAGGCCAAGCTGTGTATCATGGGACCTGAACTAGTCTTCCTGCAGGAAGAAGGTAGACTGCAGTGATTTCTTTGAACTATTGCCACACTGTTGCCTTCTGTTACAACCATAGAGCAGATTACCTGTATAATGAAATTCGTATTGCTCTGCATTCTTTTTAAACTGCATTTATATAATTATTGTGGCTTCCAAGGTGGCTCAGTGGTAAAGAATCCACCTGTCAAGCAGGAGACAAAGGTTTGACCTCTGATCCGGGAAGGTCCCATGGAAAAGGAAACGGCAATCCACTTTAGTATTCTTCCCTGGGAAATTCCATGAGCAGAGGAGCCTGGTGGGCTACAGTCCATGGGGTTGCAAAGAATTAGACACCACTTAGCGACTAAATAACATACACAAAATCCCGGATGGAAGAAAAAGAAAACTGCTGAAAAGACTCAAACAGGCTTCCTCTCTTATAGGATCTTTTTAATTTTTTTTGCTAATAGTAGGCAGGTCATTGTTATAAGCCCTTACCCAGAGGTTGATCAAGTGAATTGAGGCTACTGGATTTTGAAAAGCCTAGAGAGCAGTACGGGAAAAGGAAATGGCAACCCATTCCAGTATTCCTGCCTAGAGAATCCTGTGGACAGAGGAGCCTGGTGGGCTGCTGTCCCTGGGGTTGCACAGAGTTGGACACAACTGAAGCGACTTAGCAGCAGCAGCAGCAGAGAGCAGTACAAGATAGAGCTAGTGATTCAGGCTTTAAGAGTCACAGAATTTTAAACACAGGAAAAGTTAAACTGTTTCTTATTATAGCACAATTTTTAATAGGAAATTAATATAAAAATTATCTTAATTCTATCAATAGGCAATTGATTAGAAATTGTAGATTTCCATTGAATCCTGTTAATGCAAGTTCGTGTGCCTGACGCACAATGAGGCCAAACAAATTGAAACGTTGGAGTTTGGGGCAGAGAAAAGTTTACTGCAAGGCCATGCAAGGAGATGGGAGGTTTATGCCCTAAAAAGCCCTGAACTCCCTGAAAGGTTTTGGCAAAGTACTTTTAAAAGCCAGGTAAGGGAGGGGTGTTTCAGTGTCTGTGATCAACTTGTGCACAATTCTCTGAATGGCTGATGGTAAGGTAACAGGGTAGTGTCACAGGGGTTAGCATTATTGGTCCTTAGGCTCCAGGAGGA